TCGCCAATTGAAGTTTGTTTGCCTGTTTGTTTGCTTTCCCTGCAGCTGAAGGATTTATAGGCGAACTTTCCCATGCGGATTAACTGATACGTAACGAATTGTGAGCTCATCCTGCAGCTTCTCTCCTAGTGGGGCTACTACTGCAATGTTTCACAACACTTGCAGGAGCATAATAACCTCTAAGGCCTCTACCTATTTGTCAAATGTGGCTAAAATTATCTAAGGCTTACATGTTGCTGAAGGTATAGACCCCCACACATTCATAATACACAGCACAAACCCGACTCATAACAGCTCAAGTATATCAAGTTGGCATATCATTCTCATAACCCACCTATATCAGGAAAAGAACCCACTAGTTCAGCAAAATAGTTAACACAATTTTCTGAGTGTTTAATTTTTTTCTGACATAAATGCTTTTTTTGAACTGATGCCTAAAACCGGTGCCTAATTAGATTATGACTACATAGGCTGAAGTACACAAAGCTCTATTTACATATCATCTTAATTTACTTTAGACTATATAAACTTACATTTACTACAAGAAGCTAAGCCATTCTTGCAGTCATATCTAGACCTGTTCATGTCTCCAGATATGTCAAGATTTCTGTAAGGTTTGCCAAGTGTTTCAGCAAATATTGGTTAGCTATTGGTTTTAAGAACCTCAGGAAGCATCCAGTTTTTAAGACTGCCATAGTAAATTAAATGATTAAACAGTCTTTTGACATCAGTTCATGGAAGACAAATATTTGGGAATAATTTTCATAGACTGAGATAATCTTCCTGTTGTTTCTTCAGACTTTTCAGCAGCTGAATAATTTCTCATGTGTCTTTGAGCCTTATGTAGCCCTGTCATTGTTAAAATTAATATAATTTTTAAACTCAAACAAGAAATTTTATTACTGTGAAGGGTTACAGACTGACAAAGCTCTTTTCCTAAGTGCATTGACAGTGAATGAACAAGGTGTTTTCTGCCAAAATTTCCCTTTACTGCTAAGGCTGTATCAGCTGTGCTGGTGTCTTCGATGGTAGAGCTAGGTAGCTGAGGTAACCACCAGTGGTGAATAATGTCACACAGAGCCTATATAAAAAGGTGCTTAGGTGACCTTGAGCATCTCATCTTTATCAGAAACCCCAGCATAGCTACTGCTAAAAGGTCCAAAGAGAAAACCAGGGGAAAACGGCCAGGAAAACGGAAAGCCTGAGCAGTGAAATAGAGCAGAATTGTAAGCCAGCCTCTTCTTAGATCTCAGCACAGCAATGGAAACATAAGAAGAAAATCAGATTCGTTTCAAGGTGAAAAAGGAATACATACCCTAGTACCACATTAAAATATATACTCAGAGCTATAAGATCCTTTCCCATCTGGCAGAAAAAGCTTTGCTGCCAGAATTTCATTGCCACTTTCTAGCAACTGCCGTTTCGCTCTTTCAGTGATGGAGACATTTGTGTCCAACCTACCGAACATGGTAGTTGTCTGAAAGGGTGCAAGATCCCAGCCTTGGGCTTCCCAGTCAGGTCAGGCAGAGTTATTCATACACCTTCTTACGGCCCCGTGTTAACACCCTAGGACCCCATGGGTGAACACTCAAAATGGGACCTCTTCACTTCTATGGCCGTTGGCAGCTCAGGAAACCGACAGGTCCTAATTCCAGTTCTCTTGTTAAGGATGTGTTTCCCCACATGTGCACAAACTGAGTTGGGACCAATTCCATTACTACACAACAGTTGCTTCCATTATTCTAGCACGAATTTGAAACATATAACTTGATGATTGCTTTGCTTTTAGCTGGTGTATGCAGAACTGTTGTATCTTGAATGTGGAAACTGTGACTTTTGTGACAATTTTTAATGCTATCATACTAGTAATGATAATATTGTGCCACTAATGGCATCCTAAGCTACATACTGTTTCGGTTAGTGGGTTCATTACTATCAGAGTTCATTGCTTCAGCTAAGCAAGGCACTCTGCTTGCAACCATGCATAAATTCAATGCTTAATTATATTGTTGGAACAGTAATTAAAATGTATTGGCATGACATTGTCAATTAAAGCTATGTTCATAAACTTCATGAGAAAGTATGCAGCAAGCCACACAGCGGTGGGAAGCAACAGCAGGCATGTTCCTTGGGGAGAATCAGTCCTTAAAGTAGCTCTGCCAAGCGTTGCGCGGAGCAGAAGGGGCACGGTTTGCCGTTGCAGGACGGTGCGTGGGGAGCAGAGCAGATTTCTTCTGTTAAAGGCAATCTTCTGCCTACTTCTCTCCCCGCAACGCCAGCAGCGTGGCCCTGTGGCTTTCAGGCGCCGCAATTGCTCCCGAACACCTTCAGACAACCAGCAGCCCTTTTTGCCACTGCTGCAGCCACCTCGCACAGGGAGAGCGCGTTCAGCATCCAGCATCTTGACTGCAGACAGCAGACGATGGCTGCCTTTAGAGGGCTGCTGCTCCTTCATTGCTTTCTGAACACTTGACCAAGAAGCAGATATGTGGCTTCCAGTTGTCCCCCTGCCCCTGTAAATGTCTGTCTGTCTGTCCACGGTGCGGGCAGGGAAGCCGTGGGGTGTTGTGGCAGCCTGACCCTTGAGGGCTCTGACCTGAGAGCGGGAGGAGTATGGGAGCAGCCCCGTGCTAGATCCAGGACCATGAAAGGGCTCGTGGTGTCACAGCGCTGCTCCACAGCTTGCACGAGGCAGCTGCGAGACGTCCTGCGGACAGCCTTTCGGCTGAGTTTTTCTTTTTCCTGCTTCCTCCATTAACCTCCTCACTTTGTGCGTTGTCCAGCAGGTTTGCTGCCGCTGTGTGTACTCTATTTGATGTTTACAGATTGTTTCTGTTAACTGCCACAGGTTTACACCATACGAGTGGTATAACCCCCACCCGTGCAACCCAGACTCAGATGTGGTGGAAAACAATTTTACTTTACTAAATAGTTTCTGGTTTGGAGTTGGAGCTCTCATGCAGCAAGGTACACCGGTTACACTTCGTTATCGCACACGTCCCACAGTCTGCTCAAGGGCTTCTGTGCTGGTAAACTCCACCCTCTGTAAATACAACATATACTGTAAAACCTTGATCTCAGCAGCTAAGCAACAGAAGAAAGGAAGAAGGCGACGTGCCACTGCAATCAGGAGCAGGCAGAGGAGGGGAACCTGTGAAACCCAGGACAGAGCTGCAGCAGGAGGAAGGAGGGGAAGCACCTGAGAGGAAGGGAAGCGGACAGGGCCACACGGGAGTTTCTGGAGCTGAAATGTAAAATAATGGCAAGAGGGATATGAGGTGCTTCATGCTGATATTGAGTTTATGGGTATAAGAGGTTTGGCAATAGGAAAGTGTTGGGCTCCATCCCAGCAGAAACAGTAACAGCCTTAGCTACCCTAGAAAAGCTGCTTTAACTGCCAGATGAAAAAAGATGCTCTTTCTTCAGAAGGGTTGTTAATTTTGTTGGCACTTGTCAAACACTTTGTTTAAAACCAAAACCAAACCTTTTCTTTTTATGGCTTTTCTGCAGGCATGAGTCCCATCCTTCTGTAAATGTATCCAACCCTAGAAGCCTTAACTTAACCCACTCACAAGTCCCTGTTGCTGATGATTTTGGAAACAGCTGACATTTTACTCAGTTGGCAAGGAAGGGCAGTGAAGCTTACTCCATATGGGAAGTCAAACAGACGTGTGCTAAACACATTTGTTTATGGCATGTATGTTCTAAGGTTTCCAATTAAATCACTATTCGCCAAAACTGGGGTCCACTGAAAGAAGGAAAATATTTTCTGACAAACATTTTGAGTTGAATCAAAGCTGAACAAAAAAAACCCACCCTACAACAACAACCAAAAAGGCAATCCAAAGGAAAGCCCAGCAGTACCTTTGTAGTAAATTCCTAAACATTTAAGTAAGGAATATAAAACCATCTCTGCATTCATCCAGGTACAGTTTATTCCTCCTGCTTTAACAGACATGAGTAGCAGTAAAAAAAACACGAGGAGGATTTTTTTTCCAAGATATGGTTGAGAATTTTCCTGGTTTCGGGTTAAACCATGAGAAAAATAAAGTTGTATTGTACCTAAGGTGCACTTGCTTTTATTGGTGCACCAATGTATTGACAGGATATAGAGCTTCCTCACTGCAATGACTTTGAAGGAGGTTGGGTGAAGGAAGAGCCATTCTGTTTTGCTTTTTTGTTTTGTTTTCCTTCCAATTGATCAGTAAAACACAGGCTGAGGTTTTACAGTATCAGGCAGGTGTGTGTATATAACTGTGCCCTGTGTGTGAAAGTGCCCCAGGATTTTGTGTTTCGATGTACTGCCTTTTTTGGAGTTTACCATCATCCACAGCAAACTGTGGGATGCAGTGTCTGCTCGTTACCACTACCTTGGGTACATGACAGTCAGCCCCAACCAGACTCTGCTTGTCTTTCAAGAAGATCAAAAACAAAAGAAAGAAAGAAAGAAAAGAAAGAAAAAACATTTGTAAGGCTACACAAATGTTTCCAAGTGCAAACTTGTGGTGCGTGTGATTGTAAGTGCATCATCATTAATGTGAAGAGTTTGAACATGATGTGAATGGTTGTGAAACTCTGCATCTAGTGTTACGCTCTTTCTTGTCGGCAGCAGCTGCTTGTTTTGCTTGATTGGAAGCCACTTGTTATTAAATTTTAAAATGTGATGATCAGACTTTCTCTTTTCTACAGAGCGTGAGCAAAGTCTGGATCAGGATTGGCTGTCATGTCTGCCATAAAAAGGCACTAGAGAGACTTCAGCAAGTATTGTCTCTGACCCCGAGTCTTGCTAGCAACGTTTTTATTTAGACGTTGCTTCCCCTGTTTTTCCCCTGAAAGTCTCAGATATGTTTTGCATACTCTGAAAGCATCCAAACCGGGCACATTTCATCCAATCCATTCAGAGAAGCTATCACTTTCAGAAAGGCTAGTTGTCGGTCAGAGCCCCAGTTCAGCCAGGCGATGGGTCAGACCAGGACCAGCCCATCCAGGGGAGCGCTTAGGGCAAAGCCGGTGAGCGCCGAGCACATATTAATGCTTTTCGCTGGAATCAAGGCCCTCGAAAAGGTGAACATTGCAATAGTCATGAGAGTGATCAAAAGAGATGCTGGGCCCACCCGGATCAGCTGGGAGCAGAGTGTGCTCAGCACCTCACAAAAATGAAACCGTAGCTCCCTGCATAATTAATAGCCTCTGGCATCTTGAGCTTAATTGCACTGCACGTACTGTGCCGCTCTTTGGCAAACAACTTTCTGCTAGAGGAAATCACGGGAGGTTTAGCATCTCACCCCACAAATTCAGCACGCAGGGCTTCTCCGCCTACTCTCTTGTGCTGCCCTAAGGCTGCGCTGGCGGATTTCACGGTTGCTTGTTAAGATATCTGTGAGGTATCTGGCTATTACGCGTTACTGGGATGTATATGTCAGAGTTAGGTATTACATCAGGGTCCAAGTGTAGAAATTATATTTGTATAGCTGTCTAAGCTTAAAAAATAATACCTTGAGAATGACCTGAATCAGCTCTCCTAGAAGGCAGCTTTTGCAGGTCAACGTCAGCTTAGAAATAAACACGCACTTTTCCTGAGAGCAACAATACAAAAAAGAAAAAGATGCCATTGTATTGAAAAAAAAAAAATCTTATCTCAAAAGCAAGAAAGTACAACAGACCACAAACATAAACCCAGACAGAGCTACAGCTCTCGAAACGGGTACGTGTGGACTTGAAAATTTCAAGTGAGTTTTTGCTTTTAGACTGTTGGCTTAATTTGAAATCCATGCAGCACCAGGGCTGCACAGGGCTGTGCAGGCAAAGCATCTGCTCTCGCAGTTTGGCAATTCTGTCAGCCTACTCAAACCCTTGGGCTATGCTTAGCTTTGACCTTTAAGAAACATGTCTATATGTTTACAAAGCTAAGTTAAATCTGTTTGCTGGTTGTTTGGAAAGTTTTTACCCTTTTGGTCTTTGCCCCAAAAGTCACATTCAGAGTTTTTGCAAAGTCTGAAAAGATTCTCTGTAACGTATTTTAATTTCTTACAGAAATCATTAAATAGCTGGGGAGAGATAATATGTCAACATGTTTTTCAGTAGTAGAAATATGTTTGTCACATCAACAGCTTTATGTGCCAAGATCTCCATTCACAGGCACTTAAGTACTTTCTTAGGTCCCTCCTTCATCAACAAAATAATTATGCAAAGGCTTAACTTTGAAGTCAAAAGTATTCAAGTGGCTGTCTAAGTGCCTTGCTGAACCAGATCCTGGAATCCCACATAATGAGCTAAGTTCAGTGGAGACTCCTCTGGAAATAACAGCATAAAACTTGCATCAGAATGCTTAGAAATCCAAGGACCTGTGTGGCTTAAGTACAGTTTATCTATCTGAGCTATTTAGAAGCCGTTTCAGTGCGCTTAACACCCCCGCGTGCTGTTCTGTGGGGTTTTATGACAATGGCAGGTCACTTTGATATTTGTCAGTGTGTCATGCAGGCAGATCTGCTAAAACCTTTTTAGCAATAATGAGTGTTAAATATACTGTCCAAAGCTTTTCATTGCCCTGTAGATCCAAAGGATACCTCCATTCGCCTTCTGAATTTCCAAACGTAAACCACGTTTGTAGTAATACACGTTCTCGGTTTTGAGCTCAGATTCACACAGGCCGATGAGTTCACTGGAACTTTATTGATTGCCCTGTTTCTCCTCAGGTGCATCGATAGGATGCACAGGGCAGGTTTCTCTTGTAAGATATTTCTGCCAGGCAGCTTGTAAGCTGAACAGCATTCTGCTAAGGATCTCTGATTAAAATCTTGATTACAGTATACTGGCAAAAAGGGATTCAGGAAACAGGCGAAAATACTAGTATAGCTTGCTGGGCATGTAAGAGGTTAATATCACAATGAGCATTAGCTCAGAGATGTAATGGGGCTTAGACACAAGGATAATTCCATTTGTCATGTATCATGGCATACATCCCCTTCACAGTGTGTTACCATTATAAATGTTAGCTGTGCATCTGTGAGATTATTGTTTAAATCATTTTATCATACTACAGCTCATAAAAGCATTCTGTGCCTAAAAACAGTCTGTGGTATCAGGAAAGGCATCTTTCAGCATCATTTTAATATGATTGTTTTGATGATATTGTAACAGGATCAGAGCTGATGCCCAAAGCTCTTTCTACCAGAATAGTTGGAGGAATATGGTGGTTTTTCACCTTAATCATAATCTCATCCTATACTGCCAACCTGGCTGCCTTCCTGACCGTGGAGAGGATGGAATCTCCCATTGATTCAGCAGACGATTTGGCAAAGCAAACCAAGATAGAGTACGGGGCTGTTAGAGACGGATCCACAATGACATTCTTCAAGGTAAGATGGCACCAGCCAGCTCTGTGCGGTCAGACTGTCATGGCCCTCCAGCGATAAATGGTGAGGTGGAATCACAGCACTTGGAAGGATTAGCCTGATAGGTAAATACATCATTTGCCCAAATCCATAGAGGATTCTTCAGCAATATTAATGTAAAAGATGGGAGATTTTCCCCCAAGACATATGGAGAAACAATCTGATGCTGTACTGCTGTGAGGGGCAAACCCATGCCTTTGATAGGAGAATCTGAAGGGAACCAGGGCATAGATGTGGGGAGTTCTACTCCAGGTTGTTTTTCTGCACGGAATCTCAGTTTCTTACAGTCACTTGGCTGAGATCACCTCTGAAGGTCACATTTGCTCCGGAAAAATACTGCAGGCAGTCCAAATGCAAGGTTGGTTATTTGTGTTTTAAAATGGTCTATGGTCAATATTACACAGACTATTAATATATGGGCCACATACACACATGAGCACATCTGGAGCAAAAGATCATTTTCTGTGGCTAATTGCTTTGTGGATAACTACATTCTTTTTTTTTTTCCACTATATTAGTATTAATTACATACAAAATGGGTTAATATCATAAAATGTCAACATAAAAGCCAACAAGCTATAAATATAGGATGTATGCATAAAAATCCTGTGACAATTAGAATTAATTAGCAGCTTCAACGGTAGTCTCAGCAGGGAAGTTAAGCGCTGAAATAACTGGTATCGTGCCTTTCACTGTAGCATCTAGGAATGGTGTTTATAGATAGTCAAATACACCTTTGAAGAGGATGAAGCACCATGGGGAAGCAGCATCTGGGATGAAATAACACCCGTGCCACGCATGAGCCCTCTCCCCTACTGCTCCAGCCCAGCCAGAGCCCTGCTTTAACCACAAGCCCTTATGCTTCCACACGGGGTAAAATGCTTACATGAAAAAGGATCTCGGCTAAAGTATTTGGGTCATCTCTCAAAACGAATAATGCTCATCAAGGACACTTCAGTCATGTAATAGATCTGATGGCAGGCTATCCCTGATGGAGCTGTCAAGAGTGAACTGGCCTTGTAATGTTTGGTAGCCTCCTGTGGCTGAATAGAGATGTTTCCATGCTGAAAGAAATGCACAAACTACAGTATTTTTCAGACCCTCTTTATAGTCAGCTCTTGAAATGATGAGCTGCCATTTCCATTAAGATATGCTGGGAAACCCATCTGGAGATATTCCTGGAAACTGCGTAAGGCAAGTACCAGTCTCTCATCAGGAATATCAGGCAGGAGGAAGCAGCTGCCTTCTGCAGGACTCTGAGAAACTCCCTTGGTCTAAGATCTCCTCGCTGCCCAAAGACAGTCACTGTCATTGCTATTCTGAAGTCAAATTCAGCATCAGAGAGAAATCTTCAAAACCTGTTGCTTCCATTGTTTTTCAGAAGAAATAGCTTCTGAATTTCAGCATGAGAAGTTCAGAACAAATTTCTAGAGCTATTTCCAGCTTTACCCTCATTTTTTTTGCACCATTAATCCCTGAGGTTAAAATTTGTAGGCTTAAAAGAATGTAAGCCTTTAAAAAAAAGGTTTCAGGCAAGGTGGTTAAATATTTATATGCTACACATGTTAGCTTACTTGTGCCTAAAATACACATGTACACAAACACAAGTGAAAGGACACTAGTTTTGGTAAAGAATGGAGATGGATTCTTTGGCAAAATGAAGGTGACATAGTGAAAGATGCATGAAAAATACGATTTATTACACTTGTAAACCAGTGAGACACTCAATGTTATATAAAAGGTGTTATTACTTTTATTACAGAAGCCCTTCAAGATCCTCACAAGATTAGGATTTCTTTTTGCTGTCTAAAACTTAAAAAAAAAATTTAAATCACGGAGTAGGTCTCTGTACAATAAATATGATAGATACTTATGTATGCAAAAGGAAGACTGTGTGCTCTGTGAGGGCATGACTTTGCCTCCCTTGGACTGTAAAATACTGTATATACTTCTTGAGCTAAGTAAGCACACATGCATGTGCACGCGCACACACACGCCCCCAGCGAGAGACCTAGGAGTTAGGAGAAGGCAGGAGTAACAGTTTTTGGGCAGCAGTTACTCCTGTTCCTGCTCTGCACGTGCATTATGGCATTAAGAAAAAGCATCTTTGCCATAATGATTCTAGAAGACACCTGAAATAACTCTGTCTCTTTTTGGGGTGCTGTGAAGTCCTGACTTGGCCTGGACAGTTTTCCCTGGGCTGTCCCACACCGTGATGGGCTCTGGGAGCACCCCAACACCCAGAGGATCCCCCGACAGCAGTGTCCCTGCCAGTTGAGGGCTGGAGGAGCTGAGCTGGGCTAAAAGGTGCTTTTCACCATGGGCAGCCTGTGCTGCAGAGACAGTCTGGCCACCCGGGAGTGCTGATGTGATGGGGACAGGGAAAGGGAAAGGAGGAATCCACAGGACCAGGTGCAAGAGCAGCAAAAATGTCCTGCAGGAGCGTAGCACAGGGCTGGGTTGCACTGAGGAAGGGTCATTATTTCAAGTGCTTCCTGTGTTGCAAGGTTTGCTGTATCCAAGGGCTACACCCGGTACTTAAACCAAGAAATGCCAAGAGAAACAGCAATCTCTTTCAGACCAGCATTTTTTTAAAGCAAAATCATGACACTCCGAGCGTTCCTTGCTTTGGAGGAGAGAGGAGCAAGGGAGTGCCTTTTGTGTAGGACATAAGATGCAAGGACCAGATGAGTCTGATTTTTAGGGCTATAAGAGACACAGATGGCAAAAGGACTTCTGAAGACATCAAGTGCAGAAAAAGACCTTGGCATCAAGCAAAGTCTGAAGATCTTTGGTTTAGGACTTTGTGCTTAAGGTAGCAGTAGGAAGACCCTGAAAGATGATATTGTACAATGTACCCACTTGATGGGATGCAGATTGGGAACCATACGAGAAAAGCAAGCTACTTTCACTACTTTTCTGAAAACTCTATTTGCATTTATTCAAACTTGCATTAATTTTTGTTTATAGAATCATAGAATCATAGAATGGTTAGGGTTGGAAGGGACCTTAAAGATCATCTAGTTCCAACCCGCCTGCCATAGGCAGGGAAACCCTCCACTACACCAGGTTGCCCAAAGCCTCATCTAACCTGGCCTTGAACACTTCCAGGGATGGGGCATCCACAACTTCTCTGGGCAACCCGTTCTAGTACCTTTATATTTCGTTTATATTACTCTTGTTTATAATGCATATACTAACAGTTGTGGTTTTCCACTAATTTTGAATGCCTTACACTAGTAGCCCTGTTGTAATAGTGCCCCCAGAAAAACTATTGCTAAAGAGGCAGCATTTTCCAGAAAGTTTCTGCAGTGACTCTACCTTCTAGCCAGGTAGTGGGGGGAACGAAAACAAAAGCAACTGAAATTATTTGTGGGGAAAAAATGGAGTTCTCACTTTGAAGGAACCTCAGGGTCAGCCTCCTCCCTGTACCCAGATACAAAATCTAGCCATATCAGATTAAAATATCCAGAAAATAGCCTGGACAGTTAAGGAGTGCTCTAGTGAGGGAATGGGGTTCTAGGCAGGAGAGCCAGCAAGATCTCAGGCAGCATTCACCATCTGTGTGCACATCCAAATGTGGGAAAAGTCCAACTGAAGGTATTTTACATCCACAAATCGTGGCACACATTTATTTCTCCAGGCTGCTGTTCTGCTCTGTTTCCAACACGTCTATAAATCTTCCATTGCTTTCTTGCCCCTCTGTGATAATAGGTCTTAATCTCATGTTGCAACAGTTGCCAGCTCCTACCTTCTGATATGCAGACGTGTTTCCACCAAAATAATAAGAATTCGAAGGCCAGAATTTGGCATATGATCTATCTCGAAAAACATGGGAGTTGGCAAGATATGAAGCTAAGATCTTTCTTTCAAACTTGTCTGAATAAGGAATACATCCTTGCAATAAATTCAGTATCAGACTCAATCTACTGCATAAACTTATCAGTTTCAAAAAACATTCCCAACTGAGTAGTAAAAATGGTTTCTACTAGTAAAGAGCCACTTAACCATCTTCAAAGTTTAGTTTACCAAACTTAGGTGGGATTTAGGTCAAATTCAGAGGTATTGAATTTACAGGTGAAGTATATTCACATTTAAAGCTCAAAGAACCAGAAAATCGGCTTTTCACAGGAATCCCCCAGGCACTGGAGTTTAATGAGCACATATGGTCCTCCGCACAGTGAGCCTAAAATCAGCTATGATGGCTATAAACCGAAGATAGGGCCCATGAAGGAAGTGGGGATGTACTGGCCCAGAACTGGGGAAACGTAAGTGTCTGGAGGACCTTCAACGCATATTTACATTAAACAGTTGGTTCGTGTGTGACCGGCTCGTGCTGGGCTGCAGCACAGAGTACTTCGGCAGCGGTCGGCTTTGCCATCTTGAGATAAAATCATTTCTATCGGCAGTTTCTAACGGCCCAGCTGTCTGTAGGTCTACCTCGATATTTAATCCAGAAGCGACGTTGTGTGCTCGATGCTGTTTGAGAGCGTACAAGGAAGAGAGAGGTTTAATTGTGTTAGGACTGCATGAGGTTTTTTGGTTTGTGGGTAGCACATCTTGAGGGTAGAAGGCAGAGGGCTCCAGCAGGTCCCTGAACACGTTCAGCTTTTCTTTTCATGTCCTCCAACAAAGGCAGAAGCAGGAACAGGGGGGCACTGGCACTGCCTTTCCCTGCAGGCTGCCTGGGTCCCTCAAGGGCTCCCACCGCACGGGTGGAAAAGAGTGGGGAGGAAGGGATGTTCAACACCGTACGGAGGTGGCTGGGGCTTCTGGCATCACTCTTCCCTGTGCCACTGGGCATTGACACTGAACACGTGCACATTCCTCCTGGCAAACTCCAGGGAGAAGGATGACGTCCTTGAGTCTGATTGCAATGGAAAGCAGAAAGCAGAAGTTTGCTTAGAAGCTGCTTTGTTGTTTTTTTTTTTCTCAAGCTTTATCCTTAGAGAACATGACTTCTAGGCAAGTGCTAACAATATGAAAGAGCCGGTACTTGACTTATCATCAGGCTTTTGGAGCAGCGCGTGTTTGTCCTGACAGGCAGAAGCGCCGCTGCCGAGTGGAACAGTATCCCGCTGCGCTAATTTAGCTGGGCTGTGTGCTGTAATCCATGTAACAGCATTAGCCCAAAAAACTTCAAAGCACTTCACAGTCGTGCCAGTAATGAAGTTCCTGGCACTGCAAAGGAAGTGAAAAAAGAGATTCCTCGGCATAAAGCACAGTAAGAGCAAAAGGCTGCGGGAAGGAAAACCCCGTGACCGATTCCCTTTCATTCAAGATGTGCTATTGGCGTCGGTCATGTCACAATAAAAGGCTGAGGAATGTTTTACAAGTGTAATTTGGGTGCTGGTGTCATTCTGTGCCCTTGTTTTCCCTCCTTAGAAATCCAAAATATCAACCTATGAGAAGATGTGGGCGTTCATGAGCAGCAGGCAGCAGACAGCGCTGGTGAAGAACAACGATGAGGGAATCCAGCGTGTGCTCACTACGGACTATGCGCTGCTAATGGAGTCAACCAGCATAGAGTATGTGACTCAGAGAAACTGCAACCTCACCCAGATCGGAGGGCTCATTGATTCGAAAGGCTACGGCGTGGGAACCCCCATTGGTAAGATGCTTTCCGGCAGAGGTGTTGTGGAACAGACCCAGATACGTCCCCTTCGGAAGTTTAGATGGCCATTTGAATCATGTCCTAGTCCTTTAGAAGCTTTTCTCATCAAAACGGACCCTAAAAGCCTCCTTTTAGGCAAAACATCTGCTCTTGCTCTGCTCATCTGCAAGCAGTCTGCAAGCAAGATGGAATGTAGCAGTGCAGGCTATATCTGCAGAATGAGGTTGAGTGACCTGCTCACCTTTCTGGAGCACCCCATTTGTAGCAAACCGGGTATCCTCTGTGCTGCTCGAGGTGCAAGTTGCTTTACTGAAATTCAGTTTAGTTTGAGAAGTCACGTAGTGTCTCTGGGAAGATGGGAGTGGGCAGGATAAAAGTTATGTCCAATGTATGCATCTCAAAGAAAGATGCGTGAAAGGAGATGAATTTCTGATCTATTCCCTGACCTCCGAGGAACCCATAAGAATAGCTAGAAGGAATTGCAAGGTTCTGCATCTGCATCAGGGATTTCAGGGTTCTGAGCTAAGCAGTCTTCATAGATTTCATAGATTTCATAGATTTCTAGGTTGGAAAAGACCTTAGAGATCTTCGAGTCCAACCATCCCTAATCCCCATTAAACCATATCCTCAAGTAGCTCATCCACCCTATTCTTAAACACATCCAGGGATGGGGACTCAACCACTTCCCTGGGCAGCTTATTCCAGTGGCTGACAACCCTTTCAGAGAAGAAATACTTCCTAACATCCAACCTGAATCTCCCCTGACTAAGCTTATGCCCATTTCCTCTTGTTCTATCTCCCATCACTAATGTAAAGAGCCCTTCCCCTAACTCCCCACCATCTTTTCTCAAGTATTTATAGGCCGTAATCAGGTCTCCCCTCAGCCTCCTCTTCTCCAGGCTAAACAGCCCCAACTCCCTCAGCCGCTCCTCATAAGTTTTATTTTCCAGCCCCTTGACCAGTTTAGTCGCTCTTCTTTGGACTCGCTCCAGGAGCTCAATATCTCTCTTAAAGCGAGGGGCCCAAAACTGGACACAATATTCCAGGTGCGGCCTCACCAGTGCCGAGTACAGGGGCAGGATCACTTCCCTGCTCCTGCTGGTCACACTATTCTTGATACATGCCAGTATCCCATTGGCCTTTTTGGCCACCTGGGCACACTGCTGGCTCATATCAAGCCGGTAGTCAACCAGACTTGGTTGTCTTAACTAGTCTTAAGACTCCCAGTCTCTGAACTCTTTCCAGCAGACCTTTTTTAGCATATTGGGTGTCCTTTTCAAGATTTTCTAAATGCAGAGAATTGGAAAG